GTATCCACCAGGGAAAGAGACCTCAGGAAGGCCTCAGTGTTTTTCCAGGCCTCAGAACAGCCCAACTGAAGAGAAACACCTGCAATTGTGTGCAATGTGGGCTTTGCTTTTCTCAGAACTCAGAGATGCTTAAACATCAACAAATCCACACTGGACAAAAAACTTATCAATGTCTGGAGTGTGAGAAATCTTTTATTCGGAAAACAAGTCTCAAAATCCACAGTAAAATTCACATGGAAATAAAACCTTATAAATGCTTCAAGTGTGGAAAATGTTTCACTCGGCGTTCATCACTTTGCAATCATAATAAAACACACACAGAGGAGGAAAGCAGAACGTGCCTAGAATGTGGGAAATGTTTTTCCAGCAAATCAACCCTGCGGCGACATCAGAGAATCCACACTGGGGAGAGACCTTATGAATGTCTGGAGTGTGGAAAATGTTTTTCCAGCAAATCAACCCTGCAGCGACACCAGAGAATCCACACTGGGGAGAGACCTTATCAATGTCTGGAGTGTGGGAAATGTTTTTCCCGCAAATCACACCTGCAGCAACACCAGAAAATCCACACTGGGGAAAGACCCCATGAATGCCCAGAATGTGAGAAACGATTTGGGCGTTCTTCCACACTTTGGAGTCACCAAAAGACGCACAAGGGAGAAAAACTCTATAAATGTAACAATTGTGAGAAATGTTTTTCTGTAAAGGAAAGTCTTTTTCAACATCAGATAATCCACACAGGAGAGAAACCCTATCAGTGCATCGAGTGTGGAAAATTTTTTGGTTTGAAAGCAACCCTCAGAAATCATGAGAAAATTCACAGAGGGGAAAAAAAATTCAAATGTTTAGACTGTGGGAGAGCATTTATTTATTCATCTCAGCTTAGAAGTCACTGGCAAGTCCATATAGGAGAGAAGCCCCATAAATGCTCGGAGTGTGATAAATGTTTTTCTAGGAGATATAGCCTTTTGATACATCAGAGAACCCACAGTGGAGAGAAACCATATAAATGTCCGGAGTGTGGGAAGTCTTTTTCTTGCCAAAAATATCTTAGAACACACGAGACAATTCACACAGGAAAGAAGCGTATCGGGTCTAAACAGAAAAATGAAATGTGCTCAGAATGTGGGAGATGTTTCTCCATGAGGTCACACCTAATTCAACATGAGAGACTTCACACCAGAGACAGGCCCTATCAATGCCCAGAATGTGACAAGCGATTTGTGGAGTCTGCTGAACTCCGGAGACACCAGAGGGGGCACACAGGAGAGAAGCCCTATAAATGTGGG